GACAGATACTACTCCTCCCCTTCGCTGGGATCCCACGGTTGCGCCCTGAGCAGGCGATACGCAATAATTGATGCACGTCAGGATTTTGCGTGCAGCAGGCTTCCGAGTAGTATACAAAAGCTGTGCTTCACAAGTTGTGCTTCGCACTGCGTGAGTGCTCAGAGTGGTCGAACATGCAGAGATAGAAGGGCTAACCAATTTCGGGTCGAGAAATATCCGGAAAAAGTCTCACAGAACCGAAAAATCGGACTATTCAGATAATACCGCTCGGAAAAATTACTCCGATGGTATCTAAGCTTTCTCTTAGCACTTTTTATGCGACTACGACACAAAGTGAGGTACTGTGAAGAATGGCCTGAGAACACCCTCGTGCAATGCCTAATAGATTGTTTTTGGGGCTTCTCACACTAGACACGGACGACGAACGTCACCGTACTGATCATTTGCAATATTTTTCCTGCAACCTTCAGTACCGTATACGTGATCTTTCATTTGTGCCTGCAAACACTCAACGATCCAACAACAAATGTACTCTGGCCGTTTGTAGGAGCTTATCTGTGTTTTGAGTGTCATAAACTAGCCGGAAAAAGACTGACTGATTCGCCAAATCGCCAAACAATCAAAATGCAACACTACAAAGTCCTTCTCTACAAATAATTTCTGCTTCTGAAGTTGAAAAATGGAAATGCGTGAAAAATGAGTCAGAGTAAAATCACTATGGGATGCATGGTGAATTAGCATCTGTGGCAGACTTTTTCAGGCATTCCGTTAAGGTCGTCATCCGCGGGCAGATGATTAGGCGGTCAAAGGGTCGCAGACGCGGCTGCGGCGCGTCACGACCGCGGCGATTGGCTGTTTCCAGCTTATTTAGCCACCAGTCGGATCGCCCGGCTGACGCCGAGCTCTCCTCCTTCTCTTTAGCTGGCTTGGCTTCGCCAGGCGCACTTCATAATGGGAGCGGAATCGGTCTTTGGTCTTTCAACTAGCTGCTCATAATTCGCTCTTTTTGATCGATCGTATATAGATGGAGCCAACTACGCGCAAGCTCAGGGCTCCAGCTGCCATTGGAGCAGCTTGTGCAGTGGCTCTGCGTAAGTATTTGTAATATATAGTTGAGGGTATTATCACAATCAAAACAACATCTTAATTTGTTATTGTTATGGATTAGCTTGCAGCTTTGCTAGCGGTTGTATCCTCCTCTGTTGCTGCGTTCTCCTACTCAAACGTGCGTTACGCACCGCCTCACCCTTCACCCAACCTCTTCCCCTGATTCCCTAGCTTGCACGAGCTCACGTCTGGCTGATTACGTGCAGGGGAAGGAAGCAGAGGAGGAATGGAATGGTACTCCCCTTCCTCCATCCCACCCTGCCCCCGCACGAGCACACGTCCAGCTACCACCCGAGCAGCTCGTGCAATGGCAGGAAGTGTACCAAATGGTTGTCTTAGCGTGTGCTATCACAGTCAAAACATTGGGTTGATACATCAGCACCAATCGGTTCCCGGTTTTTGTCTAGCGGTCGTTTTTCCCTTTTCGTTTTTCTGTTTGATCCCGTGAAGCATTTTGCGCGTGGACAGACATACAAAACATATATACTTACAGTCTCATCATTGCGGACTGTCGGGGCGGCTGAGCCGCGCTGCACTGTGACGCGACAGCGGCTGCGGCTCGGTGACGGCGAATCAGCTGATTTCCATGGAATTCGGCTGCGAATTCCCACTTTTTCAGCTCTTCAAGCTTCGAAAGTAGAAGATGAGTTATTTTTCGAAAAATTTTAAATTGACTGGCTCTTATTTTCCTCTACTTTTATGTCTGTTATTATGCGTCTTTTCGCCCATCGTCCATCGCCATCGCATACATGCGCCTTCTTTCAGGCATTTATTCAAATGGCTTGCATTCTTTCAGATTCATTCAGAGTCAGTACAATTTAAAATTGTTCAAAATAACTCACCTTCCACTTTCGAAGCTTGAAGAGCTAAAAGTCAGTGCTTATAGAATAAAAGGATTTTCTCCCTGATTTTCATTGTATTACTTATTTTTTCCAAGGTAAGTTGTTTTTTTGTCTTTATGAAGTATATTTGAACGTGGAATTCTTTTTCTGTTTTTGGTAGTGAACTATTTTTACCATTTGTTTTTCTTTAATTGTTCATTTAATTGTTCGCAAAAATTAGAGAAATCTCAATCATAATTTACCTTGTGAAGACAAGAAACACTTCACCTTAAAAAAAAAGCAGCCAAAAACAGTGAAAATTAAGGAGAAAATGGCTAAATAGGCTGGGGATTAGCTGATAGGCCGCCGGTCGTGGACGCACCGCACGGCGCATCTGCGACCCTTACCGCCTAAACCAACTGCCCGCGATGGACTATGCTTCTGCGAGTGCCCTACCAGCGGTCTGACGCAAACAGTCATTTTGCCCGCTACTTTGGAAATAATTTGGTGAAAATTGTTGACCACGCGTAGAGATATTTATAACGTTCCGATTCTTTGCTACAGATAAAATCCACTGTATTTTGATGCGCAGTCGCAGCCGTTTTGGCCTTTGGGGCGTGTCATGAGGCTGGGTTCGGCGGGGATCCAGCCCGCTCACCACCGATTGTTGTCGCTTGCTCGCTTCAGCATTCAGTGGACAAGGGGCTGCCGCGCCAAACTCATCCACCCCCGACCCTGCCCCAGCATCCGCAGCGAACAAGAATGAAATAATGCTTTATTGTTGTCGCTCTATTACACGTTTATTGCCGCATTAAAACTGAGATAAACATGAAGGATAAAAAAGGATAGTTTTCGCCGTTGATCAATCCCTTTGTGGGATGCGGCACGCATTCTACTGTATATATAGGTTGGAAAGAAAGTCCTGTCACTGTTGTGATTTTTTTCTTTTTTATTTTCTAACTCAACATGAAATAAAAACTAATCAATAATATAATCGCCATTGTTAGCCACTACAGTGCTCCACCTAATGGGCAACTCAGCTATCCCCTTCTCCCAGAACTGAGGAGGCTGCGAGTCGAAGAAGTAGGCAACTTCTCGATTGATGCCATCAAATTCGCTGAAGGTTTTCTTACCTAGGAAAGCCTTGAGGGAGCGGAACAAGTAGTAGTCGGAGGGGGCTAGGTCTGGAGAATATGGTGGATGGGGAACGGTCTCCCAGCCTAGCTCCTCAATTTGGCGGTGGGTCTCTTTAGCCACATGTGGTCTGGCGTTATCATGGAGGAGGTGCACCGAAGCTCGTCTCGGCCGCTTTTCTCGAAGAGCTTGCGCGAGTTTCTGGAGTTGGGCGGCGTAAACGGTAGCGGTAACCGTATGCCCTTGCGGAAGCAGCTCGTGGTGCAGCATGCCCTTCGAATCCCAGAAGCAGCAGAGGAGGACCTTCTTGGAGTGCAGGTTCGATCTGGGTTGCGTAGGCGGGTCTTCTCCTCGAGGGAGCCACATGGCACGACGTTGGAATCATAGAGGACCCAGCTTTCATCTCCAGTCACAATATCTTCCAGAAACTCCTTCCGGTTACGGTGTAGAAGGAGGGATCGACAGATGCTCACCCTGGCATACCGCGTGCCATCTGTTAGAGCATGAGGTATCCATCGCGTGAGGACTTTTCTGTAGCCAAGGGCCTGAAGGCGGCTTAGAGCTGTTGTATGGCTACACCCTAGCCTTGTCGCAATACTGCGCGTGGTAGCCTCTGGATCCTCTGACAGGTTCGAGAACGGCGGAATCTTCTACGCCGCGAGGGCGTCCCAGACGAGGTTTGTCTTCGAAGATCGTCTCTCCTTTCGCGAAGCGAGCGAACCAACGGTGGACAGTCCTGACGGTGGTGGTGTCCTCCCCCAATGCACAGTTGATGTTACGGGCCGCTGCCGTCGCTCCAGTGCCGCGGCGCCACTCATAGAAGATGATCACTCGAAGCTGCTCCAGTGAAACTGACATCATAAATAAACACAGGGAAGAGCAGGAGCCTTGATATACCTCTTGTGGAAAAGCTTCGAGAATGTTCTACAACCTTAGCATGTTACGTCATGTTCGAGCTTCGAAGATCAAAAACTGTAGGCTATCTAAAAAACACTGACAGGACTTTCTTTCCAACCTATAGAATCGTAGTGGCTTATTGAATGCGATGTGGCCTATACAATGACTTGCGGTGGCCAGCCGATGTACAAGTCAGTGTTTTATCCTCCCAGACGAATCTGGTACCAATTTACCGTCCCCCGGAGGGTAGAAGGCTTGGTTGGCCTGGGCGGGTGTCGACCCGGGATTCGAACCCGGCGCCGCGCGAGTGGTAAGCGCGCCACTTGTCACTACACCACCTCCGCCTGAGATAAACATGTCGAGCATTAATAGTCACAAGTGTAGTTGTAGACGAATTTCATGTCAGAGATCAGTGTGTCATCTGGACAATTGGACATCGATTAGGACATATGAAGATATCGATTTTACTTTGCCTGTCTGAAATGATGTAGAACTCACAGAAGAGCGAGCTACTGGATTCTTTTTGAAGGACAAAATTGTACACTACCCCCGAGGGACAGTCGTTGCCATGTGCGGAGGCAAGCGGCGGTCCGGGTTACAATAGCGTACTGCTTTTCCTCAAAAATGCTCGAAAAAAGGGGCTGGGTAGTGATATCGGCGCCAGGCGTTAGTTCTCAGAATGCAGCACTTGCGTCGTTACCAAAAGTACCGTTCCGGTATCCCAGCCTTGTTAGAGAACAAGAGTGAATTTTCCTGTTCCCTTCGATACCACGACTGCCAGTCCTCAGTAGAGTAAATCAAAACTAAAAAAGTGCACATTGACCTGGCAGTGGAAGGACAAAAGAGCGATAGAAACGGCTGAAAACATGAAACACGGTCCGCCCACTCCATCCTCTAGTTATGGAGTTTATGTAAGAAGTGCACTGTTACGAAGTATCAAATCGAATCGGATTTCTGAATTCTTTTATTGAACTACGGCGGGGAAGTCCATGAATGTTACGGCTTGAACATGGAGTTTGGCAGTGTCTAAAGGAGAATGATTTAAGCTGGAGGTACACAGAGTCCCGGATAACTTGTAGTGCATTTGCCACATTGAGAGCACGTTGTGCCAATATTGTAGACACTTTGATTGACGATGTTGCCACTGAAACGAGTTGAGTTGATTGTGAGTCTCCGCCCATTCGATTATCACGGAATATGTCTTTGCAGGCATGGCGAAATGGTTGTGGGACGGGCGGTTGCTGTCAGTGCCATTGGTGGAAGGGTTGCTAGAGGGTGTTAGACCACATCCCACTCCGCCCTTCCACGATGTTGGCAGCAGCCGTCCGCCCCAGCCATCATGCCCACTGCCTTTGAGCTTTGTTATATTTATTGATTTGCATGCGCCAGATATTCGGTATCCATTTGAAAGTCCAGATGAGGCGTATCTAGCTCACCCAACCTAAAGAACCCCTGGATGTTCGGCTTCGCGCTCGGCCATCTTTTTATGGTATCTGGCCCATCGTTTCACTGTGGGGACTAGAAATGAGCACGTCCTGGCGTTTGGAAGGATTCTTCCTGAACACGACTCTCCCAAGCTTTGTTCTCCCACAACAATCCCCCTTCAAAACTGAACCGATCGACCATCTTACTAGGCTTGGGGAACATCGGCGGAAGGAGGAGGGGTGGGGAGGAGGGAAACACTTCTCACAAACCAAATAAGTGGACATTTGCTGCACATACGATCCCTTACCGTCCCTTCAGCTTAGGTATACCCAACGTGCCCTGAAACGATTATGGTGCCGAAAGAATGATTCAGTGCCCATACGACAGCAGTCAGGCTTGGAAAAATCCTAGACTCAGAAAAAGAAACAAAAATTACCGCGGACTATAGCGGCACACAACGGCAACCGCATTGCCTCCACAAAGTCGAATGCCACATCCAATTTGGTAGGTTGAAGCCCACGCCATCTGAAATCGTGGCTCTGAGGATGAAGATAGACCTTATTTTTCAGTTAGTGGAAGGGAGAATGACATTTCTTGATTCAAATATGAGGTGTGGGGTCACGTCTGCTTGTCCGTGCCCTTTGACGAACAGGAGAATGGCGCACCCATTCTGACACCTCAAAGTAACGTAAAAGGAAAGGACTAGACAGGACAGACAAGTGGTGAAACGGCATCGTGGCACCTGCCTGGCACCCCCGAACTAATCATTTTCGGAATATCTTTGAAACATTTTTGTTCTTTGGTATGTGTCCAAGGCTAAGAGCTACTCGCTGTGTTCACCATTTACTGAAGCTCACAGTAATTGACTAGTTCAGTTCACTAGATGAGTTTCAGTTCAGTTAAAGACGCAGTTTGGCTCGGAGGGGGGATTTTTGCACTACCCGTCTTCCTGCCGAACCGTCAGGCAGAGATCTGTTAAATCCTGTTGAGCCGAAACCACACCAGTCAAAGTCTCTAGAGATCACTTGTTAACTCTTGTAATGAATGCCAAATACCTGTCAACTCTTGTAAAACAGTGAACACGACGATGGGAGTTAACTGAAGTACAAGGTGTCCCCCCTAAGCCAAACTGGCCAAATAAGAATTTCCGAATCTACTTTATTACTTTGACATCCATCTGTCAGCGAATTATTGGAGGTAACCACTCGAGTTCATGGAGAATGACCTTCTATGGAGTCCGATTTCTTCGGCGCTTTCAAACCTACCTGGGTGAACCTGAGTGGTGCTTCAAAAGCCTCCAAAAGGGAATTGGTGAACATCATTGTTGGATCCATACCAATCACTTTGACTTCACGCCAGAATGTTCTGATGGCCTGAAAATCAGTCATGCTATGGACTACGAAGTTCAGGATCGTCAGGCGCTGCGAGGAACAGGGCACGTCATCATCGAATTGAGCCGTCGAGCCGAGCGAAGGGGGAGGGGCGGGGAAGGGCTTATAGCACATGTGAAACAGGAAAAGCCGCGATGCAATCCGACCATCCCCCAACAACAACCAGTACGGCTCCTCCCCTCTTTTACAACGTCGTGAAGCGAG